ATTTTTGCTTCATATTTTGGCCTTTCCCTTTTTGCCTTTCACCAGCCACTTAACAGACCCACTCAACCAAATGTGCCAACATATTTTTCATTCTGTCAATATCTAGTCAGAAAACTTTGCACAGGAAAAAGAGCGTGCACAAGAGAGAGAGAAAGAGAGATTAAAAAACTAGAAAGAACGGGAAAATTAGTATGGCAAGCTTTCAGTCTATTATATCAGAGCCAAGTTTGCATGGTGAAATGACATACCCTGTGTCTCTATAATTAGCTGCTAAGAAAACACAACTTTCCAGCTCCCAACAAAAGAAACTCAGTTGCAGTTGCTTATGGAAAATGTTTGTGTGTGATACAACTTTTTAGGAGGCTTTTTTGTGTCATCCCCCTCCGTATTCTTCTCCACCTGCCCACCCCAACTTCCCCATCCAAACCCAAAAGTTATGTAACAAGGTAATACCAACAGTGAGAAACTGCATGATAAAATCCTGCCCAAAAGTGAAAAATGCTAATTTTGTCTCATTTAGCAGCTGGATACAGAAATGCTCATTAGTTTTAAGAGGGTTAATCCTTTTAACTTTTGCATATTGATATGCCAATTATGCCTAATTGTACAAGAGGCATCAGTCAAGGTAATAGTGCATAAACACATGAAAGTTATTAAGTACATCCCAACATGTAATAAAGTAGGTGTTAATTGGTAGCTGAGTTCTGCAGGCTATTGAGGTGGATAATTCACTGAGAGATGGATCACTTGTAATTTCTCTACATAATTCCTTTTGCAGTTTCATGCTGTGATGTTTTCATGCTTGTCAAAAACAACTGCAGCCTAGTGCCTTTTGTTAAACACAGCCAATAAAATATGTTAGGCATCATTAAATATACTTAACTTTTAAACTTTTTGAAAGGTACAGCTCTAACTGTTAATATATTGTACTATTTCCAAATACATTACTATAAATATGCTTTTCACTCCATAGCTGAAGAATTATCTTATATCTCAATTATGGGATTTGGGATTGTGTTGGTGTTTTTTTTTTTTTTAAGTACTACATGCAAATGTGTCACAAGCAAGTGAGAGTTTTAAATTAGAATGTAAATGTTAAGGAAATGAATGTTTCATCAGTTACTGGGTTGAGATTGAAGGACTTTTCCCCCCACTCTCCCAGTGTCATGCCAGTTCTTCTGAACTAAACATTCCACTTCAGCCAACTAAGAGAAGAATAATTAAAATCACATATTTCTGAACTATGCTGTGGTTAATTTTGCATTTGAACATGGGGATAATGATAGCACACAACACACTACTCACTGCAGCCTGCTTATTTCATCAACTCTTCATAAGGATCCATCATATTAAGAGAATAGCTAATCGATACTTTGCACGGCTCCGGTGAGAGAAAGCAAGACTGCGTGCTTGCCTGTGTGTTTGGGTTGTGTTTTGGTGGGGCTCCTAGTATAGTTTTGAAGCTTTGGCTTGTTCGCCATGAGCTGAAAAACAGAGCTAGAATCCAAAACAAGTGACTAACATTGCATAAATAATTTTGCAACATCATATGGCCTCAGCTGCAAGTTGCAGCCATTACGGAGGAAAATTAACCAAGGGAGGCTCATACCAATCAGTTCGTTTAGTAGCACAGGATGAGGAAAGGGGAAGGGAGATGACTGGCAGCCGAGTTCACCTCTGAAGTATTAGCGTGTAAATCTTTTCAGAAGAGATAATAAATAAATAAATCCACAGCCATTTGGCTCTCTCTGCTGCTTAAAAATTAGGGGCAGTTCAGGCGCCAGATTTTAACTCTTCGTCAATCCCTCTACCAGAGTATTTTATCATGAATCTTCACTTCTAGGAAGTTTTTCTTTTCCTTTCCATTTGTGGAATTTTATGCAGTATCTTAGAAGCAAGGTCTGATACTTGCAAACCGTAGGCCTTTGGGGACAAACAGTCGCTTTGTAATCTGAAGTTTTGCAATGTCTTCTTGCTTGGAGGCAAAAAGATCCACAAGTGGGATCAAATTCCTTCCCATCACAGCTTCCAAAAGCAAAGTATCCCTGTTCCTATCAAATTTCAGATCCTAGCTTTCTTATACACACAGCAAAAGAGTTCAGGCAAAGGTAACTCTTTTGACAGATAAACATTTGAAATTGTGCCCATATCATATAATCAACTACTGGCTACAATCAAGAACAGGAAGATGAGGCAATATGAATGTTAATACAACTGCTAACGTTTCCCTATTGTTCTGCAAGGGAAGAGCAAAAACTAACAAGCATAGCATTACCAAAACCTTACTGAGAGTTCACTTGTCAGATCTATTTTTGGGGGTGGGGGAGGGGGGTAAGTGCCACTTCTTTAGGGCCAGCACAGATGGCAAAGCTTGCCCAAAGAACTGATTACAGAGGGAGTCAGCCCTTCAGGCCTGGGGTGGGAAACCTGACGCTCCTTATTCTACTTTTGGACAATCCTGATAAAAAACGGTGTGATCGTGGATAATCAGTGGCACATTTCCTTGCTGTTTTAGGTGAAAAAAGAAAAAGCTCTACAAAATAAAAATCAAATAAAGAATCCCATGCCCCATCATGACACAAAAAATCCTGCCCCCACATTTATGTTTTATGTCACCACACCATTATGGTTCTCACAACAGTCTTTATCATCTGGAAAAATATTCAGATTGTATTCTTCTTCAAACCAGTATGAAGGAAAGGACAGGGCATAAGTTATTAAAGACATGTATAGTGGAGTTAAATTTTTAGCCCAGTCATTTTTGGGGGGGGCTTCCTTTTTTTTTTTTTTAATTGAATGTAATGATCTCATATTTCATTATGGTTAAGGTTTAATCTGGATTATTTTTTTTTTAATGTCACCGAAGAGGTTTCCTTCCATTTTAACTAGCAGTCCTACTGAAATTTTAATATTTACTTGGAATAAGGAAATGGCTCAGACCTTTGATGCAGTCACTTCTAAATATCCTCTAATGTATAGCTATATAGTTCTTTGAGATTTTTTTGAGCAGCTAAGGATTGTGAAATAATTAGCTAAATATCTAAATTTCAGGCAACATGGGATTTGTGACAATTCATTTACGGCCTATTATGTAGTCTGGCCCAACTTTCAGTGTGGATCTTAAAAGGAATATAGGTAGGGAATATAGTTCCTAATGATATAAGAAGCACCTATTAGAACTTTAATGAGAAAAATCTAGTTCTGAGAAATGTATTAGAAAATCCTCCATTCTAGACAGACTTTGATGACAGATTTCACCCCATTCCAATCTAAAGGACAGAAACAGCCTTGGCTGCTTTGGTTAATGACTTAAGTCGGGGAATAGATGAGGAACTACAGCACTGTTAGTTCTCTAGGACATTTATACAGTTTTCAGAACTGTCAGCCAACATGTCCTTATAGGTCACCATGCTAATCTGGAACAAAGAGAAACATTATTACAGTGGTTAACATTATTAAAAATAGCCCAGGTGATCTAATCCAGGGGCCTGCAAAATATTGCTATAGAATAGCAATAGTGCTATTCTAGTGCCAGATAGTGTTGGTGCAAGCCAAAGCTCTCTACTTTTTCCAGTACTTTTAGGCATATTGCTGTAGAATGAGTGACAGACAGGAAATAAACATTCATGGAGAAGTAATGTCAAGTGTGTGTGTTTGTGTGTGTGTGTGTTTATGCAATTATTTCTTTCAGTTTTCATTTCATTTCATGTAATAGTAAGAATTTGCTTTAGAAATTCTTTGAGATGATTTCTTTGAAATCCGTAGGAGCAAAATGTGGCGTTCTTGCATTTACTTAGTAGCAGGAAGAGCAACAGACCTGGGTAAATGCCCTTTTTCACTCAACCAACATCCCTCTATTGCAGTGATTCTCAACCTTTTTGAAGCTGCCGCCCCCCTAAGGAGCAGAAAATTTTTCAACGCCACCCTTTGGGTGGGTGGAGGAGCAGAAAATTTTTCAACGCCACCCTTTGGGTGGGTGGAGGAGCAGAAAATTTTTCAACGCCACCCTTTGGGTGGGTGGGGGAGTTACTGAATTATAAAAGGCAAAAATTTTAAGTAATTTTTTTCAGTAGACTTACACACCAAATTTGTTCGATTTAACTCGATACTTTTGCCCTGGAAGGTAATTGCATTCCTTTTATTAAAATTAAAATGACTAATGCAAAAAAAATGAAGCGAACGAAAAGCAACTCAAGAAACACGGGTCAAATCAAACATTCATATTGAAAAGACGCTCAACGCACACACTGCGATTAATCATGCGGGAAGACAGCTGACGCACGCGCTGCAGTTAATCGCGCGGGAAAACAGCTGACGCATGCGCTGTGCTGGTTGGGATCGGAGAAGAATCGTAGTGTCGAGTTCTTCAAGGTCAGCCTACCTAGAATACAAATTCGTCTCACCATTCTTAGTGTAAGTTCGTTTTATTGCTGGTACAAATGGTGTAAATTGGATAATCTATTTAATAAATTTTTGGGGGAGTTTTAAAATTAAGTTCGAATGCCAAAACCTGCCAACCCCCCCCCTCCCGCCCAAAACAAATTCACCGCCCCTCAGCATCCTCCCACCGCCCCCCGGGGGGTGGTACCGCCCCTGTTGAGAACC